CTCTAAAAACAATTGTTCCTTGGGCAGGCTAGATGCTAAACATACAATGACAAACAACAGGTATGCCACTGGTTGCAAAGAACTTACTGGCTAGACAATCTTTTTAATAAAACAAAATAACAATGTCAATGGTAGTTCCATATTGTTCCTTCCACGTTAGCCAAGCTGAACTACATTTCATGGAATCCCCTCCCCTGTATTGTTCCGTTTAGGGTTGGCCCCTTGAGAAAGCCGCACGCTCTGGAAGGCAAACAGGAAACTACAGACCGCTGCCGTGCTGGGTGCCAAGCGCAGTGGCAGCTTGTGCACAGGGTCAGCGACCAGCGGCATCACTGTGTTGGCACAGGATGGTACCAGGCTGATGTTTCTTCAGATCCCACCACACCTCTTCAATTACTCCTGTTCCTGGGCCAGGCACGTGTGAGCTCAGAGGTGAGCACACAGCTCCTTCTGCAGGATACCCACACGGGCAATGCTGAGCAATGAGAGGCAGATGGGGGTTCCAGGTGGTCCCTATTTTCCCCCATGTCATGTCTAGATTTTCTTTTCAACTGCTGGCCCACAGTGACTTTAGGACCACACAGAAACCAAGAGGACAGTTTTACATAAATAAATAAACTTTCTCAGCAGCTCATATAATTACATAAGGCCTAATTCCTATAATAAATATCCACATTTATCATGGTGGTTCTGATTCCTGATTGAACCCTGAACCTTGAACCCTGAGAGGGATCAATTATCCATGCTTGAGATACAAAGAGGTTTTAAAGACAATATAGAGTTTATAAGTCTTTCAAAGAAGAAATGGCTCTTAACACATATTTGTGTAAGGAGTATCAGTGTTTGCCAATCTAAGCGACAGACAGATATGCCTGCTGAACTCATGTTATCTTCTTTGGCAAATTCTAATAGTCAAACTCCAAAGGACCAGTCCAAACCTTCTTTGTTCTTCCCACCTTGAGTATGCTTTCCCCACCTATTATTTAGGGGAGGCATAAAGTAATGGCTTTTGAACTGTGGTATTGATTCTTTTGAACTGTGGTGCTAGAGAAGACTCTTGAGAGTCCCTTGGACTGCAAGGAGATCCAATCAGTCAACCCTAAAGGAATCAGTCCTGAATATTCATCGGAAGGACTGATGCTGAAGCTGAAACTCCAATACATTGGCCATCTGATGCAAAGAACCAACTCATTGGAAAAGACCCAAGATTGAAGGCGGGAAGAGAAGGGGATGACAGAGGATGAGATGTAGGATGGCATCACTGACGCAATGGACATGAGTTTGAGTAGGCTCCAGGAGTTTGTGATGGACAGGGAGGCCTGGTGCACTACAGTCCATGGGGACACAGAGAGTTGGACACAACTGAGCGACTGAACTGAACTGAACTGAAAGTAATGGCTATGGATCTAATTTAAAAAAGGAGGAATGGGATGTAGCCAAGATGGCAGAATGGGAAGTGCCTGAACTCATCTCTTCCCACAGGCACACCAAAACTGCAACTATTTACAGAGCAACCATCCATGAGAATGATCTGAAGAAAAGATTTGTAGAAAAGATTTTCCCAACAAAAGATAAAAAGAACGGACTACAACAAGATAGACAGGAGGGGCCGAGATGTAGTGTACGCAGGACCCATATACCTGGGTAAGAAACCCATCAATGGGAAGCATATCACAATCACAGAGGTCCTCCCCAAGGAGCAAGAGGTCTGAGCCCCACACTGTGCTCTGTGGCCTGGGGTGCTGCAGCAGGGAGTCCCCAGAACTTCTGCTTTGAAAGCCTGTGGGGCTTATGTTCAGGAGAGTCAGAGAACTTAGGAAACGGACTGCTCTTAAAGAGCATGTGCAGAGGCTGTAGCTTGAAAAAAGCCTGGGTCAGACCTACTTGCTATTCTTGGAGAGCCTCCTGAGAGGCAGGAGGCACCTGGGACTTCACTTGAGAATGAAGGCACTGGTGGCCTCTACTTGGGGGAGCTCATTCTGCTATGATGTCAGCACTGGCAAGTGCCATGTGAGAATCCTTCCCACAGCCTATTAGTACTGGTGACTTACCTGCCCACTAGCACCCGCTCCACAGCCCCAAGGCTGCACAGCCAACCGCTTNTAATGGTACCTCATTGTGGTTTTGATTTGCATTTCTCTGATAATGAGTGATGTTGAGCATCTTTTCATGTGTTTGTTAGCCATCTGTATGTCTTCCTTGGAGAAATGTCTATTGAGTTCTTTGGTCCAAAAAATGATCATTTTTTGATCATCAAAAAAGATGCTCAATGAACTTCAGGGAAGAATGGATGAAAACTGGGAGAATTTTAACAGAGTTATAAAATATAAACAAAAACCAAACAAAGCTGAAGAATATACTAACTGAAATGAAAAATACACTAGAAGGAATCAACAATAGATTAGATGATACAGAGGAATAATCAGTGATCTGGAAGAGTAGTGGAGATCACCCAAGCTAAACATAAAAAAGAAAAAAAAGGATTAAAAGAAATAAGAATAATTTAAGAAACCTCCGGACCACATCAAGCATACTAACATTGCAATATAAGAGTCCCAGAAGGGGAAAAGAAAGAGAAAGAGGCAGAGAACTTACTTAAAGAAAATAATACCTAAAAACTTCCCTAACCTAGGGAAGGAAGTAGACATCCAGAGTTTCAAACAAGATGAACCCAAAGAGGTCCACATCAAGTCATACTATAACTAAAATGACCAAAAAAATGTATTTCTAAATCACTTTGCTGTAGGGCAGAAATTAGCACAGCACTGTAAAACAACTCTACTTCAATAAAGTAAATTTTTTTAAATATATAAAAAATGTTAATCTAAAAATTAACAGCAAGCGAAAAACAACCAGTTATGTATAGTAAACTGACATTCAGCAGAGACTTTGCAAGCCAGAAGGGCATGGCACTATATATTCAAAGCGATGAAAGGAAAAAAACCTACAACTGAGGATACTCTTCCTGGCAAGGTTATCATTCAGATTTGAAGGAAAGATAAGGAATTTTACAAACAAGTAAAAGCTAAAAGAATTCAGCACCACTAACCCAACCTTACAAGGAATCTTAAAGGGACTTCTAGTGAAAAAGAAAAGGCCACAAGTAGAAATATAAAAATTATGAAAGAAAAATCTCATGCGTAAAGGCAAACATATATGAAAGGTAGTAGATCACTTATAAAGCTAGTAGAAAGGTCAAAACACAAAAGTAGTAAAATCATCTATATCCACAATAAGTAGTTAAGAGATACACAAAACAAAAAAATGTAAAACATGATGTCAGAAATATTAAACATAACAGGGGAAAATAAAAATGTAGGGATGTCAGAACGTGTTCGAACTTAAGAGATCACTAATATATGTGTGTGTATATACCCACATATATTATACACACACACACACACACATATGCATGCTCAGTTGTATCTGACTCTTTGAAACTCTATAGACTGTAGCCTGCCAGACTTCTTTGTCCACGGGATTCTGCAGGCAAGAATACTGAAGTGTGTTGCAATGCCCTCCTCCAGGGGATGTTCCAGACCTAGAATCGAACCCATGTCTTTGACGTCTCCTGCACTGGGGGGCAGTTCCTTACCACCAGTGTCACTGGGAAGACCCATACATATATAAAACGTGAGATCATCAATATAAATGTGTGTGTGTGTATAGTAACCACAAACCAAAAACCTATAAGGTTCCATGTGCTCAGTCACTCAGTTGTGTCTTACTCTTTGTGACCCTGTGGACTATAGCCCACTAGGCTCCTATGTTCACGGGATTGTTTAGGCAAGAATACTGGACTGGGTTGCCATTTCCTCCTCCAGGGGCTCTTCCGACCCAGGGATCAAACTTGCATCTCCTGTGTCTCCTGCATTGGAAGGTGGATTCTTTACCACCGAGTGACTTGGGAAGCCCCCAAACCTATAATAGATCCACATAAAAAAACAGAAAAAAATCTAAACACTCAATATATAGGCATCAAGTCACAATGGAGGAGAACAAAAAAAGAAAAAAATACTACAAAAGAACCAAAGCAGTGAATGGAAGGGCAATAAGAACACACCTATCAATAATTACGTTAAATGTAAACAGACAAAACGTTCCAATTAAAAGACATTTGCCATCCTCACCCACATTTCCAGCATTCAAAATAAAATTACTTCCTGAGCACCTACAATGTAGCAGGCTTGGGATGCATCAAGAAACAAGACTTAGATCCCTACTGTCATGGGGATGGGGCTTCCATGTCGGTGACATATTCACCAAACCCAGCACTTTCAAACAGAACCGAGAAACTTCCCTGCCCCGTGCTCCTCTGCCTGGCCTTCCCAGTTAGCGATGTCACCCTTCACCCAGGGTCTTCTTCTCTATCTTACCCTCACTTCTTCCGAATCCTGTCAGGCTTACACTCATCTCCGCTGTCAACAGTCCCCACTGCTCAGGACACCCAGGATTCTGCTACTTGACCCAGCGTCTATAATGAGACTTATCTTCTACTGTACCCCGTGTCCCAGCTACATCCAACGAACCCACCATTGTTCACAGTCATGACCCTGTTCTTCAGCACGTTGGTTCTCCTGCCTCAGCCTTCTCTCCTTTTCTTGGCCTGGTAAAACTCTACGCATCCTCTACGGACTAGCTTAACTGACATCTCTTGTTGGAAGACTTCATCTATTCAAGAAGACAGTTATTTGCTCCTTCCTCCAAATCAGTTATGATACTGTACTGATCTGCTTACCTGTTTGCATCCCATCCAGACTGAGAACTCATTGAAGTCAAGGATGATGCCGTCCATCTGGGATCACCCCAGGCAGCCCCTAATACCATGCCTGGCATGCAGGAGGTGCTTAAATAAACAGCTGTTCAAGGTGGGAGCCATCTTGCATTAGAGGTTTGGCATGAGAGCCTTTTGCTCACCAGTGAGAATCCCTAACTCAGCAGAAAGCGTTTTTCCCTTTCTAGAAACCGGACGTGCTAGGTTAAGTAAGATAATCACTCACCTCACTCCTGGAGGCGACAGCCCGGTGCAGCGGGGTCAGCCACATGTTGTCCTTGGCATTCACACGAGCTCCTGGAACCAAACGGCACAGGTTAGACGCATCATGCCGTCAGGGCAAGTTCTGCTGACGCGAAGTCAGAAGCTGTGTCTTGTGCTCTTGTTTGCGTGGTACAAACAACACATTTTGGTTTTTTTTCTTTGTATCAATCACGTGCTTTCTGGCCAGACAGGAGGCAATATTGAGTCCAGAAGAAGCAAGATCATGAGTTTAGACTGTCACAGGAATTGGGTTAAGACGAGAAAAGAAATGACAGGGTCTCCCTGGGGAGGAGAAAGTTTTGAGAAAGCTGAGATCCTCCAGGACTTTAGAAATACAGGTTCTGAAGAATGAAGAACTTCTCAAGGGTGTGGATATATGTATGTGTGTTCCTGAATATAATATATATTCCTGAATATAAACTATATAATCACATTCATTATTTCATTTTCAGTCGTTAAGCATATTTATCTCACAGGGCAGACAACATCCTTCTTGACAAATTATTAGGGATGAGCAGTCTTTTAACAAATGTATATTATCCTAGAAGCCAGTGAGATGTCAAACACATTTGTTAAGTTGGGTGCTGATGAGTCTTGATCTGGGCTAAAGGGATTAGCAGAAATCCATTTTATCCAAGATCCTAATTATCCCTCTGGAACAAGCCACGTATTTCGGAAGGAAGAAGCCAGCTTCCATGGGAGCTTTTGAACTGACACCACATGAAGCCTCTGTGGGCTGTTCACAACTCCCTCATGCGATGGGGTGGGCAGATAGGGTAAGACAGCTATGTCTCCTTAGCCGAGCTAGTTTGAACCAGCACTGTGAAAATTGCCTATTACTACAAACAGCAAAAGACCTATCTTACTTCATGTTTTTGACCATATGAGTAATACATGAATGTATTCTTCTTTTAAAAGATAGATTGTTATAGATTTAGGAAAAGTCCCTTTGAGAATCACTCCCAATGCTGGACTTTCTTTACTCCCTGAAGAAAACTACTGCTCTGAGTTGGTACATGAGATTCTGATTTATGTCTTGTATACAAATATGTGTACCTAAAAAAAAAAGTGTACCTATAGAAAATATTTCCAATATTTCACTGTAAACAATGCTGCTATGAACATCCATAAAATGACTCTATGCAAGTGTGTAAGTATTTTTCTAGGATACATAATTAGAAACGGATCTTCTGTGTCCTTGACCATGCACTTTTGGTTTTAATAGTTTCAACCTTCAAAGTGTGCCAATTTATACACTCACAGTGTATGATTGCTTCAGTTCCTCACACTTTCATCAATACTTGATACTATCAGTTATTTATTATTATTATTATTATTATTATTCAAGGAATATGCATAACAATCTCTGAGTTCTCCAGAGCTGGGGCCACCACTCAAGTGGAGGATGGTAACTTCAGGCTGAGCACAAGATCCCTGGAGCACTGCCCAGCTGCCTCACCACCAACCAATCAGAAGAAAGTCACACAGTCTGCAGCCCTCATTCCAAATGTTGCCTTCCTCTCCTGGGGACCGGTGATGACCTATCAGGCCTCCTGTTTGGCCCCTGTCTGTTTCGTCACTGACTGGGTCCAACAGTTTTGGGCTAAACTGCTGTTACAACAAGGGCTTCCCAGGAGGCACTAGTGGTAAAGAACCCGTCTGCCAATGCAGGAGACGTAGGACATGTGGGTTCCATCCCTGGGTCGGGAAGGTCCCCTGGAGGAGGAAATGGCTACCCACTCCTATATTCTTGCCTAGAGAATCCCATGAACAGAGGAGCCTGGTGGGCTACAGTCCAAACGGTCTCAAAGAATTGGATACAACTGAAGTGACTGTGCACATCAGTTACTTAAAATATTGCAAATCTGATTGGAAGAAAATGCTCTTACATTTCTGTGTTGCCTATTTAACAATGAGATTGGGCATCTTCTAATAGGTTTGTTTATTAGCCACTTGTAATTCATTCCCTGAGAACCGTTTATTTATATTCTTTGCCTATTCCCATTTTTCTTATAATTTATATGTATATATTTATATTGTAGTTACTATTATTACAGTTTATGTATCTAAAATTCTAAAAAAAAAAGTTTTATGTAGATCCAAATGTGGCTTTTAATATCAAAATTCTTTGAAGGAGAAAAATGCCGCTGAGCTTGCTGCATAACATAAAGCAACCTTCACCCCCCTGTGTAACAAACACCAGTACTGTGTCCATACAGCTTTGGACTCACTTGAGAAATTGAAAGATAATTAGAAATCTAGGGAGTAGATTCAGCCACTGTGTAAGCCTTCCATTTCTCCACTAATCCTCCTCCACAAGGTTGAAGAGGCAGCTGCCAGGGAAACCACCTCTCCCAGAACAACAAAATTATTATGACAAAAGCAGAGTTATCTGAACGGGGACGCGTATTTCATCAGTGTCATCCCGTGAGACTGGCTTCCTCATCCTCTTCCTCTATCAGAGAGTCTTGTTTACATGTCAGAGGGAGATGTCGGATGGTTTGAGCTGAATATTTATAACTGATTTTTCTAAAGGAAGCTTCATGTTATTTACCTGCCTGTCAGGCACCATTGTGTGCTGAAGGACACAGAGTCAGCATGTCTAATGATTTAAAGGCTTTTCCTCCAAGCACATTTAAAAAAATTTTTTTTTAAGCACCAGGTTATACTGATTCTCCAGAAACCAAGACCTAACTAAAAGTTATCAGGCATGAACTGTAATTACAAATTAAACATTTTTTAAAATCTTATCCCTACTACCGCTTGATTTTATTTTCATAAATAACAGGAGTAAAGAGAACTCTGAGCATATTTTCAGAGGCAATATTTCTGTTCTTTTCACCGTGTCATCTAGAAACAAGTAGGACAAAGAAAAAAGAAAGATCAAATGACTAAAAATCTTACAGGCCAGCGAGAACAATTGATTCTTAAGCCAACATTTGACTTTTAATTATAGAAATAAACATGAAAGAAAAATCACATGAAATATGATTATAATACAGTGAGATCAGCTTGCTATTGATTTTTTAAAACAAACAGACCAAATCTCATTATAGCCCAGGAGCACTGTCCTGCAAAGCAATGGCCTTAGAAGAGTATATGATAATTCCAAATATGTGGCAGTTGCTCAAAACATTTTAAAAACTCCCCTTGGAGTTGCCTTTGGGGCCAGTTTATATGCCTATCAGCAAATGGCCCATTACTTTATAATCACACTACATTGGAGACCAAAATCAGCATTGCCTCATTTAATTACCCCTCTTTTTCTAGACCTCCCCCAAAATCAAATCCAACCTCAAAGGATGAATATTTGTTATGCATGAAAGAATCAAAAGAATGACCTGCCACCAGCTCTGGAGGCAATTTGCATTGGGAGTGGTAATCACATTTTGAAAAATCACAGGAAATAATGTCATAGGAATACCACTTGTTTGGTGGCCTACATTCTAATTTATTTTTTTTAATTAATAGTTACAACTCACAAACACTCACATATTATAGGGTGTGTACTCCTGGTTTTCTTCCTTCAGCTCAGAACCCTCTCTCTAACCCTTGTGTGTTTCCAGAATTTCTCTGCAAGGTCTTATTACTATGTTTCTCTGTGTGCTCTCCCCATATCTCAACACTAGTCTCTTAACTCTTAGCCACTGAGTGGTTCACACTGATCTCATTCATACATCTCCAGGCAAATGATTTAGCAAGCTCTTGACCTTCTCTCTGCCTTAATCCTGACTAGGTCAGTTCCAAAACAGAAGCTACAAGCAGGTGGTGAAAATAAAGCCAGAAGCAGTTATAAGAGGAAATCTGCAAGGCCTGAATTCCTTGCTGTCTACTCAGACACACTCAGGGTTCCATCTGCCTCGCTAACAAAAGATAATGTCAGTAGGAATTCAGTGGGCTGGAGTTACACTATGCTCTGTAAGTTAATACAACAATGGAGAACACAGCTGTAATGGGAGATTCTGGCAAAGTCAAATGATTTGTCCAACATGGGACTCATTAGCACCTCATTCATTATTAAACTGGAAAACAATTTGGTTGGATTCCCTAAAGGGTCAGCTGCCAGATGTAAGTCAAGAGATGAAATCACTGCTCTTGCAATGATATTTGTTTAGGAATATACTACACAAAATGAATAAAGGGCCTTTCAGGGAAATTAAAACCATGACAATTTCAAGAGTTTGCTAAGTTTCCACAGTTGAGTAAAATTCCTAAAGAACCTTCACAATTCTCTTCCGTATCCTAAGTCTTCCTAATTTGATGAGGGAAGGAGGAAAAATTCCATAGCATGTGCCTCCTGAAATTATACTAGAGGCATTAATAGTTCGGTGATTCTTCCAAGATGACTGGGCTAAGGAAACAGGAGTACAGATCAAAAGATACAGAACAGTTTCTCCTGGCTCTGAACGAGCCCTGTTTAAAAGAGGAGGGTGCCCCATGCCCACGTAAAGGAGAGGTGAAACCAAGTCTTTTGATTATCAGACCCTAGATGCCTGGGAAAAAATGGTTGGTTCCCTTCCTTTTTGAGGATTTAAACCTTTCCCTTTCAATTTTGGAAAACCAACCAACCCACCCGGCAAAAAAGCATAGCTGGGGATATAAGACAAAGTTCTAAATTTGCACAGTCATGAACTAAACATTCCTCTGAGAACCCTGAGCTGTGTCTTAAAACGACACTTAGAAGGTAGGTAGAGCTTGTTGGGATCATTAGGTGTCATACCACAATAGTCTTTATTTGGCACCTCCACCAATTCTGCTTATAATTTTCCATGGGCCAAATTTCTACTGCTGGGGCAACCAGCCAGGTGTGCACTGGCTATTAGCCACAGACGGTGCCAGTGCCAAGCACTACATACTTGTTTGGAATACAGCCTTGAAACATCTTCAGAATTATCAGAAGGAAGGCCTGTTCTCAAGAGCACAAAAACTACTCCACGAATTCTAACCTAACCTTCATGAGACTGTCAGGAGCATGGAGCATAAGCATTGCAAGGCATAGAATACTTGTTTCCTGAGAAAAGCTACCTCAAGAACACAAACACAACAAAAATAAGGGCAGTGTGAATCTTCCTTGTGCATCACAGCACCACTCTTTTTCACAGTGTTCTCCACACCTGTTATCAGCTAACCAATACTGATAATCAGATAATAATCTGATTACAATAATCAGATAACCAATACTGTTATCAGTTCCTGTGTTTGCATAGCTGACTTTGGAATTCTACAATTTCCCTTCACTACTGCAAACAAAGGCAAAACCTTATTATTGGCCTTTTGCATAGTCTCTGGGCAGCGGCATTTCCTCCAGATTTGAATCTCCCCAAACCAAAAGAAGGAAGAAGAAAGCCAGCTAGCCTGCATGCAATCCACATGGAGACTCATGCACATGCTTAGATCCATTCCAGGGATTTGTCCAGCAAACACTCAAAGGAGAAAGCTCATGCTGGTTTTGGGTGAGATGTACCGAGTAAAGGTGCTTATGTGTTGTCTAGCCATGCAATCGTGTCTGACTCAGTGAAATCCTATGGACTGTGGCCGCCAGGCTCTTCTGTCCATGGGGATTTTCAGGCGGGAATACTGGAGTGGGTTGCCATTTCCTCCTCCAGGGGATCTTCCTGACACAGGGATCGAACCCATGTCTTCTGCATCTCCTGTACTGACAGGCAGATTCTCTACCACTGAGGCACCTGGGATTCCCACCAAGTATATAGGTTTCCCAAAATGAAAACGCTGGTATTTTAAAATCTGGTGAAATATTTAAAATACATAGAAAAATAACGAGAACAGTATTACAAAGACCAGTATGCACACAACATGTGCTGGCCATATATTTACTCCCAATTTTTAAAAAATGAAGTATTTTACAGAATTACTGTCTCTTTTATACCCTCCCCTGAAAACATCTCTCACTCTATTTGCCTCCTCAGAGGTAACTACTATCCAGAAACTGATGTTTCATTTTTTCCCATGTTTTTATGTTTTGATTACATTATAGTCATGTATCTAACCTAAACTCCATGAGGTTAAGTTAAACAAAATAGTACTGTTTTGCAATGCAATTTAAAAATATGTAAATACACACACATATCTATGTGTATACATGTAGACTTTAAGGAAGCCATTTTCCTTCTTTAATTTTTTTTACAGTGAAAGAAACAAATATCCAAATGTACAGAATGCATCCACAATCCTGGGCCTGACTACTTGTTAAGATGGTCAGGAGTCAGACTTTCAAAGCAACATAAAAGTTTTACTGGAGAAGTCATTTTTCAATAAGAAGAATGTCTTGTATTGTCCCCTGTCTACTGATAAAGTCAATGATCAAATAAATGTCCACAGCACAATAAAGAAACTTTGGGTTCTTTGTAGTAGTCAATCTAGTAAGTTGGTTATTTAAATTTTCACATGCCATTGACTTTTAAGTACAGCTGATATTTACCTGACAGAATCAGGAGTTCAATTATCTCTGCATCTCCCAGAAACGCAGCCACATGAAGTGGGGTTCGCTTCTCAGAATCCTGAAACGATGGCAAAGATAAACAAGTCAGTACCGGCCGGAGCTGCCTTTGGTAGATACAGTATGACATGTCACTTACTCTGAGGTTAATGCTTATGAGATCTGAGAGTGAAGGCCAAACATCTATTCAGATGAGTGCTGGTTACACATTTCTCTCAGCATCTCCCCCAATCACATGAAGGAAAGATCCCCATTTCTGTGTCTGTATGTTATATTTGCCTCATTGCTCCTTTTATTAGAGCCCAGCTCAGGTCAAGGATGGCCCATCATGCACTGGATGATGAAATAATTTTTCCTTAAATCTTCAGTATGGGTAAAAAAATTTCAGTGCTTCTACCTATCTTAACAGTACAGTTCAAAGCTTTCAATGACTTATTTTCTCTCTAAGAAAACTTAAACTATTCACAAGGACATGAAATATAAATACAATTATTCTCCATTACTGTTGCTTAGACCACTGCCCATTCATGTAATACTTATTGAATGCCTACTGTGTGTCAGGAACCAGATTCTGGGGACAGAGGGGTAACTATGAGTTCATGCCTTCATGAAACTTACAATCAAGTGGGAAGGCTGATAATAGTCATGTAACCCAGTGACACATAAAATCCTTTCAGATGGTGATGAAGACTATAACAAAATTAAAACAGGATGAGATCCAGTGACTGTGAAGATGAGAATAAGATTCCTTAGGGTGGTTGCATAAGGCCTTTCTGAGGGTGCTGACACTGAAGCTAAGAGCTGAGGCAGATATTACTAACTCTGCTGTACAGATGAGAAACTGTGGCTCAAATAAATTAAGAAATGTCCTCAAGACTCCACAGGTATAGAGCAGAGTCAAGATTAGACCTTCACCTGTCAGACTCCAGACTAAGTCCTTTGCATGGCATTCAACATATTGTGCTGTGAGGCAGCATGATAACAGGCAGGGGAAAAAAATACTGCTTCCCCATCTGTAAATTGGAGATAATGCCTCCCTAGAGGACTGATAAGAGCATTCAAGACAATGTAAGTAAGTAAGTCCTCAGCAGGTATGAGGCTTGGTACACACGCACCAAGTGCTCCGTGATGGCCACTATTGTCACAGCACAGACGGTTGTGGGGTACTGCAACCCAGAAGGACCCTATGGGAACTTCCCCATCCGTGTCCTCTACCTGCCTCGTTTGTAGAAAAACTTTAGCTTCCAAGGCTTTCCCCTAGTTCCAAAGAACACATTTAAGCAAAATGAGAAAATGCACAAAGAAAAGAGAAAATAACACAGACATTAAACAAAATCTAGGACCTTGAGTTCCTCCTCGAGGGCTATAGATAATATCCTGAGCCACATCCTTGAGTTGTTTTGCAGATACTGAAACCTCCACCAAGAGGAAGAAGTTAACTGCGTGCTGACATTAGCATGTAGATCCCAGACAAGTTGGAACCAGAATGTTGAGGATGTTGACACCCAATTATCTCACCACCAACCAACCAGAAGAATGGCCACAAGCTGATCATACACCCCCAAGCCCTCTCCATCACCCTGACTTTAAAAACCTTTCCCTCAAAGCCATCAAGGAGTTCAGGAGTTTTGAGCATCGGTCGCCCATACTCCTTGCTTGGCCTTGCAATAAACGCTGCATGTTCCTTCACCACAATCTGGTATCAGGAGATTGTCTCTACTGCACGCAGGTGAGCAGATCCAAGTTTGGTTCAGTAACATCTTCCCTCGAAGACTGAGAACTCTCGTAGGGTACAGAACTCTCTCCCTAGAGCAGCACCATCCTAGGTGAAGAAGTGAAGTGAAGTGAAAGGCACTCAGCCATGTCCAACTCATTGCAACCCCAAGGACTATACAGTCCATGGAATTCTCCAGGCCAGAATAC